GTTCCCGTTCCACCGGGCCCCTTGGCGCTGGCCTTTCCACCGCCCAGGCCTGGAGGGCCGGCCGGGCCTGCTGGCCAAGACACAGTAAGAGGGTGTGGAGACCAGAGAAGGCCGAGGACCTCGCTCCTGTGGCTGCCGCGCGGGCTGAACCTCCCAGGACATTAGGGGCAGAAGTGGACGCTGGGCCGCAGCCACCGTATGCCTGACCCTGGAGTACTGCACCAGTCCTGGCCAGACTTAGCGACCTGGCACCTCTCACAGTGTAACTGATCACCAGCAGGCTGGCACCCAGCTGCACTTTGGGGTGCTGGAAGCAGCCGAATTCTGCAGTTCTTCTAGAGAAATTGGGAAAGGAGAGGTCCTTTCCAGCTGAGAAACTGCAACTTTGGGCGTGAGGGGTTGGGGGTGGAGGCAGGCAGGGAGCAGTGGTGAAATTTCTAGGAAGGTGGGGTGGGCTACCTTTGCTGAGCAAGCACTCTGGCAGCAATATACCCTGGAAGTGATGGGGTCTTCAGTGTGACTGGGCGCCCCATTTGCACGCATGTACACAATGTAAACTTAGATGCAGCCTATGCACCAAGGCCAAGAATGAGCAGCTTCCCCACTCCCATCAGGAGCCAAGACCCTGCCTCTCCCTTCTGGTTCGACTTCCATGGAAGGAGCCATTGGACCTGGGAGCTGTACAAAGGCAGTCCCTTCGCCCTCTTGCCCAGGACAGCTCCGCGAAAGCTGCTGCTTCGGTGCTGCTCTGGCCTTGCTGAAGCAGTTGGGGGAACATCTGAGAGACCCGCCTGGGCTCCTCCGTGGACTTTATTGCGCCCCCGTCCTCCGCCGGCCCGCGCCCCCCACCCCCCCTCGCTTGTGCAGCTTGTCCCAGGCCCTGCACCCCCAGCCGCTGGGCTGCGATTCCCGGCTAAACCAGCCCAGTAGGAACCCTCAATTCCTCTGGCTCTGGAGCAGCCTGAGCTTGGATGCAACCGGGCTGCGGGCTGAAGGCCAGCGTCTTCCAGGGAAAGTCACCCTTCCCGCATTCTTGTTCTTACTCCCTCCTCCAGCATGGTGGTGAGCATAGAGACCCCAAGGTACCCTGCAGCAGCAGGGCGTCAGGAGGCTCTCATTTCTTTGCTCTGAGGCCCGGAGGACAAACACAGAGCCACCGCCTATAATTAGCAACAATAACGCCCATAATAGTAATTACTAATTACCGGCGCCATAATCAGGCTTGACTTTTTCTCAGCTCTGAGTCACAATTCTTCCTGTGCATGCTGTGTGTTGCCCTCCACCCACCACCCACCCCCACCTTCTGCAGATAACTGGGCCCTGAGCTTTCCAGAAACCCCCTGCAGCAACCAGCAGGGAGTCTTTCCTGTCTCCAAATAGCCTGGTGGGTGCGAAGCCCCAGGCTCTCCCACTGGGGAAGTCCCCAACCGCAACTTCCCGCTGTTCTGGGCCTACTGCCTCCCTCTGCTACCCCAACCAGGCCGCCCAGTCCCACTCTCTGCTTCACCAAAACAAATGCAATCTTGGCAGGTGAGAAGCTGTGAGAGAGGACCCAGCCCACCAAGGGAGCTAGCTTAGCTACCTGTGGTGTCATTTTACAGGGTGACCGGTCAATTCAGGTGAGGTCAGAAAATGGAGGTGGGAAATTCGTCCAGAAAAGGGTCTCCATGTAACAATACAACTACAAGGATACTTATTAGGCTGCTTCTCACCCATGTCCTCACCGATACTGTCCGGCACCAACCTGCCCTTCTCAGGTCACGCAGGGTCCAATGGACTGCAGCCATCTGTACCACCCAGGCTTATGGGGAGATAGGCTCAGTGCTGGCTTTTCCACAAGATCCCTGGACCCCCAAGCCCACCACCACCCCAGCAATGTCACAAGGACGACATCCTTTGAACTTGGGCCTGGAATATTTGATGGTACCCTGTTTCCCCGAAAACAAGACAGTGTCTTACATTAATTTTTGCTCCCAAAGATGCGCTAGGTCTTATTTTCAGGGGATATCTTATTTTTCCATGAAGAAGAATACACATTTATTGTTTTATTAAAAGAGACCTCGCACTTCCTGTCTGCTCCTGCTGCACTGTGGCCAACAGTGAGCTGCCCTGCAGCGCCCTCCACTACAGCCCAGAATCCAGTTACCGTGGGGTGGGGCTTATTTTGTGGGGGATGCTTTGTATTTCAGCGAGGGGCAAAACTGTAAGTAGGTCTTATTTTCGGGGGATGGCTTACTTTTGGGGAAACACTGTAGCTTCTTGAGTAAGTTTGCTGACACTATGGAAGTAGGGAGTAGGGGTCGGGGGCATGTCTAAGTCTGGAGACTGCCCTGACAAACCTGGCCTGAGAATCAGGCATGAAAAAGTGTGTGACCCCTTGGACAATAGCAAGGCCCGTAGACATGCATCACAGGGAATTCTTGGAAGGTAACTGGATGTCCAGGGCTCAGGCCAGGGGCTCAGGCTGGGAGGGTAAACTCGAACTTTAACTTTTTGCTGGATGTTTAAATGGAAGTTGACCACCCACCACCACCTCCCAACTCACCTCCTGCTTCTTTCTCCTGGGTCCTTCAGCCCAACACTCACAACTCAAAGACTAGGACAGGAGTTGGAAAAGGGTAAGGAAAGCAGATATGCCTGAGCTTAGGATAGGGTCATTGTGCCCAAGGTGCCCCAGCCAGAAGAGGGCCACATCACTGCAGGGCCTAGGGTTGGAACTGAATATCCGCTGGAGGACTCGGATTGTCCCCCTAAACGCTTCCAGTCTGTCCTGCATGCTAGTCTGCCTTCTCTGGACGCAGAGGAGGGGCAAAGGGTCCTTGGCAGGCTTCTGGGAACCTACAAATGGGAAACCAGGACTCCAACTGCATCCTCACCTGCAGGTGGGAAAACAGGACTCCAAATGCATCTTCCTCAGAAACCCAGGGTCCCAGTCTTACTTAGCCCAGTCTTGGTCGGCTGGGTTAGCACACCTCTGACCCAGGGACCCTGGCCCAGTAAGGTTGGCTCAATCATCTTCAGTCTCTGGCCCAGAGCCTGAGCAGTACCCTGAGCCCCGCCACCCCTCCCACCCCCGACCCCCCCAACTACACAACATAACACACACACACACAGCACCCTGTCCTTGTTGTCAAGCCATTGTCACTAAACCCAGGAGCCTTGCAAAGCCAAACCTAGAGGTCGCTGCCAAATCAGAGCTCTGCTTGGTTCGAGGCCCTGGACCCCCTGGGTCCTAAGTAGCAGGGATCTAGGGCTCTGAGTGGGCAGCTGCGGTCCTGCCCTGCACAGCTCAGGACTAAGCTCCTCCGCTAAGGCAAATGACCTGAGCCAGAAGAAGCCTCTACAGCGGAAGGCAGGACGCTGGGCGCGCACCCGCGAGTGTGCAGCGCAGGGAGAGGGTCTGTGCGGTGGGCACGCAGAAGAAAGGCCTGGAGCCTCCAGGATGGAGGCAGCTGATGGCAGTAGTTTGAACCCAGAGCCTCAGGGCAAATTCACGACTGTTTTGTTTAGTTTGTGGGCTGTTTTTAAATCACTGCTCTGAGAAAGATCGGGGTCCCTTTTGCCCTGTCCGACTTTCAGTGGCCGCTGGGCCCTGCTCTGCGCCCAGCCCCACCCGGCCTAATAGCATGAAGGCCAGGCTGCGAGCGCCAGCCGCGCCGGGTTCTGTTGCGCCCTCGGCTCTCAGCTCGGCGGTCGAGAGGCCGCAGCTAGGCGGAGAAAGCTCGCTTGGGGACCGCCCCACTTCCTGGAGCCATCTTGGGGACCAGCCTCTGGCGCCGAGGCCTGAGGCGACTCGCAGCACGTCCCCGGGATGTAGCGGGAGGCGCCGCCACGGCATCCTTGCCAGTATTTCAAGATGGCCCTCCTCTCCCGGCCGCAGATGGCGGGCCTGAGCGCCGGGCGGTTGGTGGCCAGGCTGTCCCCCGCCCCCGGCCGCGCCTCCACCCCCGCCGGCCTGGGCTGCGCCTCCCGCCCCGACGCGCGCCCAGATTTATGGGTCTCGTTAAATCCTCATTAGGACTTTGCACCTCGCTCCAGCAGGGAACGGGAGCCACCCGGCTAGGCGACGGCAAGCGAGCTTCCCACAGTCCCGGCAGGGACGCAAGGTCTGCCCTGACCCTCGAGTGCCCGGGGTCCGCGCGCGGCTGCCACGCCGAGCCGCAGCCCACGCGGAGGGCCAGGGACCCTCCCGCGCGCCCCGGAGCCCGGAGCCCGGGTGCCGCGCTTCTGAGGGCGCGGCTGCGGGACTCTGGTGAGCTCCGCGTGGAGGGAAGCGGGGAGCGCAGCCCGGAAAACCCGAGAGGAGGACGCGCAGAGGCCAGGGACCCGGGGCGCTGCGTCGCCGGGCGCGGGGTCCCTTGTCTCTGGGAACTCTGGGCGCGCGCTCTGGTTCAGAGGGGCTTTGGTGGCTCATCCCAGCGAAGACGTCCAGGCCGAGGCCCGGGGAGCTTTGGAAGCTTGGCGGGAGGCTTTGAAGGACGCGGGGCAGAAGGACCCACTGCGGTGGCCTGTTCTGAAGTGTCGCGATCCCGCTGCTCCCGGGCATTCCGTGCGCGTGCCCACACGTGAAGATTTGATAAACCTCCCCTTAATTAACCAAATAATTTCCATTATGCCTCGGATGAGATCCACCGCCACGGTGCGAGGGATTTCAGGGCTTATAATTTTATGTCACCAGACGGTGGCTTGGGGGCAGAGGCACAATTGTCGCGCCAGCTGCAGTTGTATTTATTTGTTTTTCTGCCGCGTTCCTGCAGGCTCTATTATGCAATTTTTAATTAGTTTGTGTTTGTGTTTGTATTTCCCCGTCCCAAACCAACGCCATCCTGCAGCAAGGCGGGGTAAATGCTGCAGTACAGGTGTAGCTGCCTGCTCGGCAGCCTGAGAACACGCGTGTCTGGCCAACGAAAGCGGGTTGCCATGCAGCCCACGGTCAGCTCTCCAAAACCCAGAGGCGCAGATCAAAGCCAGAGCCGGGCCTTCCGCGGCTATCCATCGGGGATCGGGCCAAGCCTCCTAATGCTATTAGAGGGGCCGCTAAGGGGGCGCGGCGGAGCAGGTCATGGGGACTAAGTGACTTTTAATTTTGCTCCAAGCCTGTGGTTCTGGGACCCTCGGAGGTCTAGGAGCGCCTTCACCTGGGACCCGGGCAAAGCTGCACTAGGCGAGTGCCTCCCGAGCGCGCCTCTGCGCCAGGGGGCAGAAACCAAGGTCCCTGGCTCCATCAGGTCCCTGTTCTGCGGGCTTCCACCAGTCAGTGAATAGAAGGCCAACCCGCAAAGCCCCAACTTCTGGTCCTTGGAGGGGTGCTTCCCCTCCCTGGGCAGTGGGCTGTGTTTGCTCTCTTCCTTCTTGAAAGGACCTCTGTAGATTATTCATTTGTTCTAGCCACCCAGGAATCTCTCTCTCTCTCTCTCTCTCTCTCTCTCTCTCTGTCCCTCCCTCCCTCCTCCTAGAAATAAGAGATTGTTTATCTTCAACTAGACCACATAGGAATTATAATTTAACAGCGATGCATCTTAAATTAGCGAAATCTCACTCAAACTTAATTACCAAATAAATTATTTGCTTAAAAAGCAAAACACCTTGGTAGCCAAGAACCTGGGTGCTTAGGGCAGGGCCAGTTTCAAGCAAGCATGCCTTCAGGTGGAGGCTCTAACCCTTTTGGGCTGCAACTAAGACTACACCCACCAGCAGAACACTTGTCCTTAGGATCACGTCTGGAGGGGGAGGGGGGCTGGGGAGCCATTCAGGTTTGCTGTAAGTGCACAGAGGTGCCTACCAGTCCCTCTTTGGAAATGAATACCCTCTGGGCTTCTTACACAATTTGTTTGAAAACTTATTTCCTTTTGACTTTAGCAGTGTTTTCCAGGTTCAAGACCGGACAATTGTCTAGTTTCTTGTATGATTCCTGTTGGCTGAGATGTGGCTGAGCCTTCAGAAACTAAGTGTGTGTGCTGTGCCCCTTGGGAGTGTCCCCCTCTGTAGTGGGGTGGGGTGGGGTGGGCAGCCCCACTGCCCAGCTCAGCCAGTGTTTAAGAAAATTCACAGGAGGCCATTCTGGGGTTATCAGATTTGATGGGAATAGAAACCACACAGTCCAGACTTTGACCTTATCCCTGGGTTCTTAAACTGTGGACGAATTAAGCCCCATCTTGTTTTCCAAAATCAGTCACAAATAGTTCCAAGCCAAGTCTCCCATTGGGAGCTGCTCTGCAGCCAGGCTGTGTCTGCTGAATGGCAGGGATTGGTCCATCTGATGAGAGCAGTGTTTCTGCTGAAAGGCTCATGGAATCTGCATTTTCCATGGCCATGTTGCTAGCACAGCAGGCTGCTTCATTTCCCTCTGCCTGTGTGTGACCCACAGAGTTCTCTGTCCCTGAGGAGGGACTTTCCTCAGGGAAATGCCTGTGTGGGGTTAGAGAGGGGCCAGCGACAGCCCACCCTCTCCCTCAACAGAGATTACAAAATAAGACCACCTCCAAACCAACGTGGCAGACTCTCCACTGCTGCCCCTTCCATTAATATTTTATTAATAAAATAATTTACTTTAATTACAGTCTCAGGCCCTATTGTCACATAAAATATTAAATATTATTAACATAGCATCCGGCTTAGTAAGAGTGGGGTTGCAAGAGAAATGAAGCACTTGGAAGAGAATTATGAATTTGGGAGTGTATTCCTGTGTCCTCTCAGAATCCCTGGTTTTTATCTTATCTGGGTGTTTGCAAACTAGTGTCTAGCAGCCAAGAGTGGTTCAATTAGACTACAAAACTTAATCACATTCACTTTTGATTACAGTTGCAGCTTTCCTCCAAAGGACCAGATCTACATGAATACATATTTTAAACATATTTATGAATTTACTTCACACATCCTTCCAAATAATTACTGACAGTAACAACCAGAGAGGACGTGCGATAACAGCTCAGGAATGATAATACGTTTCTCAGATCTGAGCAAATCCAAAAGATTATGTCCTAGTAAAATCCTCAAAGGAAATGAAATGCTAGGGAGAGAGGAAGGTAACAAAACCCAGGAAGTCGGGCATTTGTGGGTGACTTTCCCTGTTTGAAATGAAGACCAGAAAGCCCGCCCCCCCATAACTTCCTTGAAATTCTCTGCCATTTGTATTATTAACAAGGGCATGCTGTTGGCCATCCTTTTTTGTTACACAGAGCCACTGACCAGCTTATACCCCCACAACATCCCAAGGGGAAAGCTGAATGTCTTCCAGGTCTGGAGATAGTGCACCTCGTTGGTTGAGTCCTTCATATCTACCCATCATGCTTAAGGGACCTCTCCATGGGTTGCCGGGGGTAGAG